CAAGGGAGTCACAGAGAGAGTGGTCCCTCCAGAAAGCAGATAAGGGTGGGGAGGGAAAAATGTCTTTGGTAGTGGGGTCGGATTGCTGATGGCAGAAGTGTCAGAGGATGATGCGTTGGATCCGGAGGTTGGTGGGGTGGTACGTGAGGACGAGGGGGATTCTGTTTTGGTTATTATTGCGGGGACGGGGTGTGAGGGATGTATTGCGGGAAATGCGAGAGACACGGTCGAGGGCGTTTTCAACCATTTGGAGGGGAAGTTGCGGTCCTTGAAAAACGAGGACATCTGGGACATCCGGGAGTGGAATGCCTCATCTCGGGAGCAGCGGCGGAGGTGAAAGAATTGGGAATAGGGGATGGCCTTTTTGCAGGAAGGTGGGTGAGAGGAGTTGTACTCTAGGTAGCTGTGGGAGTCAGTAGGCTTGAAATGGATATTGGTTTTCAGGTGGTTGCCACACATGGAAATAGAGAGGTCTAGGAAGGAGAGAGAGGTATCGGAGATGGTCCAGGTCAACATAAGGTTGGGGTGGAAGGTGTTAGTGAAGTGGCTGAACTGTTCGAGCTCCTCGTGGGAGCACGAGGCGGCGCCAATACAGTCATCGATGTAACGGAGGAACAGATGGGGGATAGGGCCAGTGTAGCTTTGGAAGAGGGATTGTACCACGTATCCTACAAAAAGGCAGGCATAGCTTGGGCCCATGTGGGTACCCATGGCCACCCCCTTTGTCTGTAGGAAGTGGGAGACAAAGGGGGTAGCCATGGGTACCCGCAGGATACTCTGCAGGACCAGGCTTCTTGGCAAATGTACTTCGACACTGAGTCATGTTGAAGAAGAACATGGGACAGGTGGCTGAAAGTTGGTCAGGACGATCTTAAAGGGAGTGCCAGAGATAGCAAAATGGAGAGGTTTAAGGAGGGAATTCCAGAATGAAGCGCTAATCAGCTGGCCACCAATGGTGAAGTGATACCAATCAAGGATGGGTGCGAGTCCCGATTCAGAGCATAACAGAAATCTTGAGGAAAGGACTAGATTAGAAATACATTAAAATTAGAGTCTGCTAAGAAGTGTGATCTGAACTGCTTTTAGCCACTTCTGCACACAAATAATAATGGAAGAATGGGCAACATTTTCTTCTCTGCGCCCCTCAAAAAGCTGTGCATACTAGTGGGGAATTGACAATACCAACGAAATAAAATATAAAAAGCTATAGAACTAAGGCTGGTAAGCAGAGCTAAGAAACAGATCAGCCATGAACGAAGTAAATGGCAGAATAGGTTTGAACGGCTGGATGTCTTCCCCTTGATGCAATTAACGTCAAGGCTGCTATTGCTGCATGCCACACGAAATAAACTGAGCATCGGCATAAAAACAGAACAAAGTAACTTTTTGTTCTGGGCATCAAGACACCTTCGTGTAGAAGCTGGACACTGAACCATATGGCTCAGGGAAAAGTGAATACTGAATTTATCAGGGGTGAAGAAATTCTTCAGAGAAGCAAATTTATTTTGTTCACTTAAGACAGTATCTGGAATGGTGGCAGTCTAACACCTTGTGCTACAATGAAATAAAAATGAACTGGATAAATGCCTTGGTATAGGCATTCATCAAATGCTATGTAAAATACCATGTTTTCTGTCCGAGGATCATAAATACGTACTCTGCAGAATGTAACTGGTCAGAGCTAAACAAGGTTAGGCTTGAGTCCCAGAGTTTATTGTTTCGGACGTGTAAAGGGAAGCTCTTTATGCTTCAATGATTTAGCAATGGATATTTGCCTCAACTGGTTGATTAAAGTGAGGAAAGACAATGCAAATTGATTCATGGGAAGAAGCAGTCACAAATCAATGTAATAATGCTTCTTGTTCTAAGTGTCAATTTTGTTGCAGCTCTTTTCTCTTGGGACATTCTCAGCTTTCCAGAAAAGCTAATGGCCATCCCTCAAATTCACCAGAGCTCCCTCAATACAGTTCCTCAAGGATCCATCAAATTGGGTTTATTTTCTGAAGCCCAGCTAATTGAAAATTTGCAAAGCTTTACTAGCAGAGACCAAACACGTAATAATGACAATAATAGCAACAACAACACATGACAATGTTAGAAGGTTTATTGAACCGATGTGATGTATAAATGTGTGGGCACACTGAGCTCATTTTACATTTGGGAAGTTTGGGAGACCATGCTGAAAAATCATTATGTTTGATAGGGCAAGTGACAGGCTAGGCTTTCATCAGCTTGTCACATATGCTTCCTTTTCAAGTATTTAACTTTAAGTGCTGTTGCTCCAGACATCGTTGAGGAGTATCTTTTTTTTAAACAAAAAGACAAATAGTTCCTTATAGTACTTATCTAAAATAAACTAGATGTGTTGTATGCCCATGCACAGAAAGACTAGCTCCTGGTCTTCTGCTTTTTGAATTCGCCATTGGGAAACCAAGCCTTCCTACATGTTAAAACTGGCTCCATGGAATCACTCATCCTCCCCTCCACCAGTGACCATCAGTCAAATTACCTGAAGCACTGTTAATCCACCCGTCAAGATACACAGCCTACCAAATATTTTCTCTCAGTCCCTCAACCCTGCCAAATCATGCTGACTTAACATTGAATATGCTGTAACACTAAAAGTGTTTTTTTTCAAAATCACTGAATAATGAGTCCGACATAATAGGCAATGCAAGGATGGAAGGAAAAGTCAGGAAGGAAGGATTAAGTGTTTTCCAAAATATAAAGTTGAGTGGTGACCAATGTTCTCTGTATTGTTTTTTGCTATTGTACAGACCTCAGGAGGTCCATGCGTGACATTGGTTTCTGGAAATAGATTCTATTCATCAGCCTAACGAGCGTGCACAG